ACCAATGTGCCCTTAACATGCATTTTTGAGCTCTTTGGAGGCACATAGTTAATGTTAGATTAGCTGACTGTTGGTGGAATATTATATTCAGTTCTGTTTTATTTATATTTATGGTCTTTCCATGTTATCCTACGGTCCAGGATTTTAATGTAGGTTGATTGCAGCAATGGGTTGAGGTCTAGATTGGCCGGAGGATAAGTTTCACGTCTTAAATGATAATAATTATGGGGAGACTTCGGGGCTTAGTTACATGCGCCACTTGGTCAGCCAATCAGCTGACTTTGCAACAGTCTAGTCACTTTAAGATCACAGTTACATTTGAGGAAGGCCGCAGCTTTCTGGTGTCTGGGCTACTTTACTAGTAGATGTTATAGAGTATCGGACCGAGTACAGAGTCCTGGGGTACTCCAGCTCTGCAGCTAAAAAGAGAAGATTTTGTAACCGAGTTTGATTTTAAACAGTCTGTCACTGAGACCTTCCCCAAATCGTCGGTCCACCTAGTGGGAGGCCTGCCCACGCTACGTCTTTCGGCTCGTGGTCGCCACTCAAGAACTTTACTGCCCCAGCGGCCATCAACTCTACGAGATATGTGCCCCACCCACTGCCACTTGATTTTAGCGATTCTGTGGGCTACGTCAGTCACTTTGTCCTCCTGCGTCTTTCGTCCTCAATTAGCGTAGTAGGAATCAATCTTCTACTTTGAACTTGAGGAAGGTAAGCGGAAACATGTCGGTCAACTCCTCAGATAGTCAAGTACAAAGATGTCCAGAAGCAGCATACGAAAAGATGCAAAATGGGCCCTCTCAAATCACAATGGGAAGGTTTGGCAGCACAGCACCTAGAATGGCGGAAGATTGTGTTGTGTAGAGGCGAGTCCGCGAATTCAAGGAGCAGCGCACAACTGAACTCGACGCAAAACGCGATGATGTAAAACTCTCAATGTGCGAGGAGTTTGCCGCGAAGTTCGGCTAGCTAAGTCATCTTCGGGCGCACCAGCGCCGCTAAGACAGCTAAGTCGAAGTGGTCAACATGACCGAAATCGGTCGGATGAATCAAAGGCAGGCATCATAGCTGCAAGTCTCGGATCAAGTTCAACCCTTGATCTTATTTTTTGATTGAATTGTGGATTTTTTGGATTATCCGTGTCAATGGGTTTAAATAAACCGGCTTGTCATGTAGCAAAGGTCATGAGATTTTTCTTGTCAGCTCATGTATTATCGGACCTAATAAGCGGAGAACACTTTGAGGGAGGTACTTTGTTGCCTTCCAAAGGTTGTGGTTCCCATTTGCATTCCGAGACATATTTGCCAAACTCTGTGTGTGTAATTCGCTTAAAGTATAGTCCAATAGTGTGGGTTGTCTGCCAGACGAAGGCGGGGATTTTTTTCTTGACAGCAAGAGGGACCGACGCCTCTCGCGTTCAATTATTTATTAGACCAAGCAGCAACTTGAATAATGTACTTCAATCAATTTATTAGTATATCAACGGCATTAAGTTGCGAAAAAATTATGCCAACCACATAATTTACATTAACTCAGACAGTCAGGCCACGCTGATGGCCTTAAACTCCAACTTAATCACCTCAAAGTTGGTAGAAAACTGCATGAGTCGACTGAATACCCTAGGAGAACGTAACAGAGTAACGCTGAAATGGGTTCCAGGTCACGCGGGAATCGTGGCAATGAAAATGCCGACGAACTGGCCAGAGCGGGAGCGGAGGGAACACAATATGGTCCAGAACCCTTTTGTGGCTTTCCCAAAAGTCTCGCTCGAATGACCCTGGAGAACATCTATTTAAACAAATCCTTTAAGGCATGGTCAGACACGCCAGGATTAACTCATTCCAAAGCTCTCATAAAAGCCTATGACCGAAAATGCTCTAAGCAGATCATAGGACTGAGTAGGATCAAAATGCGCATCTTAGTTCGAGCCCTCACTGGACACTGCAGCTTAAACAAGCACTTGTCCACTATGGGACTGTCCGAATCAAGAACGCGCAGGATGTGCCAAGAGGCAGATGAAACGCCACCACACATTCTCACGGCTGCGGACCTTTGATGCGCAAGCGGAGCTTACACCTGGGCAAACACATCCTAAGCCCACAAGATGTAAAACATATCGCCTCCCAAAAGATACTGCAATTCCTAATGGATGCAGGACTCGGAGACGAACTGTAAGGAAAATAGCGGCGATCACAATAGATCGGTACCGGTCGTAGTGATACTAGGACTTTATTGAACTAGAATAGCCGCTCAACTCAATAAAAAAAAATAGTTCTTCTGCGTTCGAAACACAAATTTTCCTGCTTCAAATTCGAATTAAAAATATCTTTATTGTAAACCACAGGTACATATTCTTTCAACACTCAATTAGCTATTAATTAATTTATAATCATTAATACTAATTGGTAACCCTAAGTCGTCTGGAACCACGGTGTGGTTATCACGTGGTCGCGTACAGCGAACAGTTAGACGAAGGCTTAACGAGCGACCGCTGCCGGGTTGACAAACGAGTCCGCGGCGTCAGGCAAATAGGTTGCAAATTAAGCCTGCCGATTGCTAATTGACTGGTTCTATGAGAATTTAGTCATGTAACGAATTGGTGGACACAATTTCTGGACTATTTCTCAACTAAATCAGAAGTCATGTTTTGTTCTTAGAAAGTGTGATAAACATTAATTACCAGAGGACTCTGATCTAGATTTCAATTTGATGGGTCACCTAGATATCTTAAAACATGATAAGAATAAAGAAGAAGATTTTTTACAAATTATGTGAAAATGTAGAGTTGTAGAGCCATGTGACTCTATCAAAATAACTAGCTTTTGCCCGCGGCTTCACCCGCATGAAATTTAGTTTGTCACAGATCGTCATAAATTATAGTCATAAAATATTCTGGGTTAAAACAATAATACTGTAAAGTTTCATCAAAATCCGTTCAGTAGTTTTTGCGTGAAAGAGTAACAGGCATCCAGACATCCAAACAAACTTTCGCATTTATAATATTAGAAGGGTAGGATAGTGAAGTAAGATTGATATGGAACGTACATAATTTCACCTACATATTCCACCTTATATGAGCCCACATTGCTTTAGTAGGATACAAATTAAGCTAGGTAATATCAAAGCCCTTTTAGTACGTCAACCGCGAAATCTTATCTCTACTACCCGTACATCACTTTAGCGTAATTACTCTACCTTGTTTCAAGCATTGAATTAGTATCGAGTGAATTTATTCGTGTCATTAGTGTGAACAGAGGCAACTGGTGCTACATGCGTAGTTATTTGCATTCTGTTAACATACAGGGTGTATGGCAGATGTTGACAGAAACTGAGTTGGAGTGGGCTAAATACTTAGTCAGTAAAAGTTGTCTATGTAAATTAATACCTATACCTAAATTTGTTAAAAGCAATAATATGATTGAACTAATTATTGAAGCTCTTACGCTCAAATCATTAACATACACACACCTGTATTGTAAAGGCTATTTTGCTCTACTTACTATAAATATCTCGCAGTAGCGGGCATCTCCCAATACAGATTTTAATCCCAATTAGTTTAATATCAATAGACCTATTAAAGGCTTCTTTCATCATCTTTCTCTTTAAAATTAGCTCTGGTTCGCCTTTAATTTCCGAGAAAAATGCTAAAAATACCGACTTCACGACATTTATCTGGGTTAACTGTAAAAGTTTCCGCAAACCTGTTATACACCCTGTATACACCGACGCGACTCATCAGAACTGTAGCTATCTATTCGTGATTGTCGCTACTATCTTGTATATTAAGGGTAACATGGTAGGGGGAATAGTTTTACACGCGTTCTCACTTTATGTCTAACTAATAGCGTATGACGTTAACGGGTTAAGTTGACACGGTAACTGCCTCACCTTTGATTAATTAATACGGTTAATATAATATTATTAAAATCAGTGTTGTAATTTACGTTATCTAGTTGGTTGGCTTTATTACTTACTGTTTGCTAATTTCTAAATACTTTCATAGTAGGTAGGTAGGTACTTTTTAAACTGCAGAAGAAGTTTAATCTAATGTTATGAATCCAACATAAGAAAACATGAAATTATAGGTACTTTTTTTATTTTATCTTTGGACATACATACAATTATATTTCTTCGCTTCATCCTTCAGATATGATATAATTACAACGTAGTCCCCCTGTTTACCAGGCAACATTCACACAGATTTTAGAGATTCAAATAAAAAAGTATTTAACTGACTACCCGCTTACTTCCGGTTTACTCAGTCTGCCGTCGCCATGTCGGCGCGCTGTTCATTCCTGTGTTGTACTCGGTAACGTTCGCACGTACACCTCAAGCCCGCTCATCATGCCCAAAAGAAGTGCGCGGGAACGTATTGAACATTACGCAAGGAAAATAAGAAAATTAGAGGAACGTGAATATCGTCGAAACATATCAATTCCTCCTTTGAATTTATCATCGGAATCGAATGATGAAGGTAAGCAAAGTTATTACTTTTTAAATTGGTCGTTATCTTTAATTAGTGAATAGTGTTTATTGAATAACTTTTTTCGCTTTGGAATGCTCTGGGATTGACTGCGGGTCAATAACTTTGACATTTACCAAAACGCAAAGTAGATAAATAACGACCTTATTTCTGCATCGGGCTAGACTGCGAGTCTTGAACGATGACAACCAAGCAGAAGAATTTTCGGTCTTTTAGGCAAAAGCTTCTTTATTGCTCTAACAATGATATAATTCCAAGAAGATTAGATGGCACATTTTGTATAGCACATGTAGGTGTAGTATCAGAAATTAGAGAAAGAATGTTGTATTATTACGTAGAAAGACTAAAATATAAATAATTATTTTGAGAAATATATTCAATATAGAAATAAGAACGATCTCTGCCTTACATCCCACTATGAGCTTATTTAGGTTTGTGTCTGAGCATGAAATGATATAAGAGGGTGTATGTAGTTCTATGAGAGTATAATAATATACGAGTAGTCTGCAGAGCTTTGAGGATTAATTAACTTCATACCTGCGTGATTGATTCGTTATTGTCTCTCCAGATGCGTCCGTTGTTGTCCTGTTTGTTGTACAAGGACTTCTTCTTGTTGCCGCCGTCCGCGAACTTCACTAGCAGAGGCTCCTTGGCACCCGGGATCGGGTTGCCGTTGAACATCTATGGACGAAAGCATTTTATCGAGTCACTGTAAATCAATTTTGATTATGGTCAAGTTGTTGCCACTGTCTTGTCCTCCTCAGTTGCACCATCTTAACTTTAACCGTAACTATAAATATAACGTAGGTGTTTTAGCATGGAGTTTGACAGACTTTTGATATTAGTTGTAGTTAAAGTAAGATGGTGCAACCCTGAGTATTTCATAATTTGGTTAAATTTGAGATTTGTATGTTGTCATCGCCTTTTTTCGTTGCTTTTGGGTGCTTTGCTATGCCCGTCTCTATATTAATTGACTATGATAATATTCCGTTGGTGCCTGACATAGGTATGTAGACTGTACAGTAGAAGTATATTTCAACAGTTTAGAATTTAAAGCTGTAGCAATTACCTGAATGATCTGCTCGCACTTTTCCCGTGACTCCATCCGCGCGAAGCCGACCCCTTTGCTATGGCCGTGCGTGTCGCGGAGGATCCTCGTGGACACCACTTGCCCGAACTTGGCCAGGAGTTGGTCCACGTCATTCTCCTTGAAGTGCGGCGGCAGGTTCGCCATATACAAGTTGGTCGGGTCCTGCTCCTGTTGCTGTAAACGCACCAAGAAAAAGATATAACAATCAACTCTGTAAGCCAAGCACGCGTGTTCATAGACAACTCCCGGACCGGCAACGGTCATCAAACGTGAGCCCAACGACCGCCGCCCGCATCCGCAGTTCTGAACGAACACTTACTCACTCTACAAGCCTAATCCCTGACTGTGAGATCAATTTATTGTTTGTCTCTTTAAATTGATATGCATGATTTGTTATCATTCTCCCTATCAAATCATTTTGATACTATCAATTGAAGATATTGGCCGACCATGCCGTGCGCGGTTGGTAATATTTGCTATTGAGGGGGTTGGAATGTTTTATGGTTTTAATTTTACTTTTGAAACGCCCAGCGATTTCAATTCGCAGCAGCAAGGTCGCCATTTGAAGACGGAATTTAATATGTTATGTACATGAGTTTCCAGCTGGTGTATCGAAAACAGTCAGCGACAAACATGACCTCTGTATCTTGATGTGGAAAACTTTCAGCACTTTCTGAGACACTGACTGCACACCAACATGTGAGTGACGTATTGTTTGTTAATGTTAATTTCAAATGTCCTCGCCACTTGCTGATAGAAAGCGTTAACAACAGTGAATTGAAGTTGTTTCGGAGAATATTAAAATTAGCTTTAAGCCCGCATAGAATATCTAGACACTGAAGCCAGCTCTGACGTAAATCAGCAGATTTATCTAATATACTAAATAATATTAGGTAGGTGTTATCAACGAGATGGGCATATACATCAGCATAGAGATTATGAAGCTAGTTAAAGTCGCATACACACTAATTTAATATCGAAAGCATAGAATACCCGAGCCCAGTAGCGAAAATACATTATACATTGTTATAACGCTGAAGCAACGACAATAGTACAGAATTAACAGATGAACAATGTTCGAAGTATAGAGTTAACAAGCGTTATATTGCACTGACTGCGTACCATTGAGGGAATACTTACAACGCGTTAGTTACTATGAACGACATTAGCGACGTACCAAATTATCCGTATCAGTCCCAAAAAGACAGACAAATGAACGATCGGTGTCGAGTGACTGGCACCGCTCGGACCGAATGTACCGCCCATATACGTCGATGATCTAAACACAGAGCCTAATCATCTAAGAGAGTACACAACTATTGAGTAACAAACATGGGTCATGGGGTCGTAACTCCTCTAAGAACTGCACCTCAAACAATATAGGGTGGGATGTTGATGCTATGAATATGCATAAATTTCATTATCTAGCAAATGTAATAGATAGAGAACACTGCTTTACCTTTAATTGCTCAAATAGNGCAACGTGCAACTCCCCAGGAGAAAGCGCGTGTCCCGGCTCAGAGTCACCACTAGCGCAGGTACATGCGGGTAGACTTACCTATTTCTTTGATTGTTGGCAAAAAATCACGAGCAACAAGGTTGTACTCGATTGGATCAAAAATGGCTATACTATACCTTTTGAATCACCTGTTAGGCAGTGCGATACTCCTCAAAATACTTTTTCATACTCCGAAAAAATAGCTATGCTAGAGGCTATAAATAATTTAAAAAAATTAGGTGCAATAATTGAATGCAAAAACACTCAGAATCAATTTGTATCCAAAATATTTCTGACCCCAAAACCTAACGGGGACAAGCGATTTATTTTAAACTTGAAACCCTTAAATAAATTTGTTCGTACCGATCATTTTAAAATGGAGGATTACCGCACTGCCTGCAAATTAATACCACACAACGGATACCTAGCCACCATCGACCTAAAGGACGCATATTTTCTAATACCTATAAATCCTTCGGATCGAAAATATTTAAAATTTCAATTTCAGCCTCATAATTCATCTAAAATCAATAACATACCAATTCTGTGCTTTGCCTTTTGGTCTTTGCGTGGCTCCTCGAGTTTTCACTAAGATTATGCGAGAAGTTATGGGTTACCTAAGATATCGAGGGCACAAATCCGTCTTTTATTTGGACGATATACTATGTATTGGCGATACCTATGAGCAGTGCGTTAATAACGTAAACGAAACGCTAAGATTACTTAACTGCCTAGGCTTCATGGTCAATTATGATAAGAGTTGTTTGTCACCACAACAAAAAAAAAAAAAAAAAAAAAGGCGCCATCTTGTTTCCGTCATTATGACCGCGGGAAACAAATGACAACGGTATGATTTTTCCCACACCCAGTGTTTTGATTTAAATGTCATTTTATTTGTTATAGGGTTCCCTATGATTTTTACAAAAATATCTAATTGTGAATAACTTGAAAAAATCGAACTGGAAAAGGCGGGAATCGATAATCGTGGGATCGATTCCCGGTTTAGGCAGTTCGTCTTTTTGTTATTTAAAATTTAGGTTGCGAAGTGACTCTAAATGCTAAGAAATTTTAATAATTATCTAAATAAGAATTTCTTTTTAAATCATAGGATATATTTTTTCAGAACTACTTCATGACGGTGACTAAAAGGGATTCTAATTGTTTTGTAAATAATAAAAAAAAAATTAAGAAGATTACAACATTTTTTCATGAATCTAATGAAAAATAGCATAATGGTGATAATAAAACTTTGTCTGAACTTTGACTGAAATCGCATTAATTAAGTGAGATGCAGTTTAGCTAGCATGATATTACATTGTTGTGCCTTAATTAATGTTTGGTAGGAATACAGATAAACATTATCTATGGCTTTATTCTTAAGACTAGTTACCTAATACTTAGTTTTCTTAATAAGGCTCATTAATATGTAAAAAATGGAAACAGAAGTGATTATAGCGGTCTAGTGGTAAGAAGACCACCTGCTTCAGACGCAGAGGTCCCGGGTTCGATTCCCAGTGGCAGATTTTTCTGTTCGGTTTGGTTGGTGGTAGGGCTTGTTCTAAGTCCGTCTGGCTAGCTACCACCATCTTACCTAAGTCTGTCGCCATAACAGCAATGTTAACAGCATTGTTGTGTTCCGGCAGTTGGAGGTAAGATAGCCAGTTCCTCCGTGGTTGAGGTTTCCGGGTAAAGCTCGCTTCCACCTTGGGCCTGATCGTCACTTACCATCAGGTGAGATACAGGCCAAGAGCTTTCTCGTTGTGGATAAAAAAATAATTTTAAAAAATACAAAAAGTTTGCCTCTACCGTCCGCCTGGCAACTCTACGTAAAACGCATTGAATTAAAACTGAACTATATTTGAACCATAAATCGCTCAGAGTTAATTGCGATAGTGAATCAGCTACTCTTTTGTCCTTTCGAATAAATTTGCAGCTTAATGAGCCCCGGGACGTGTGCATGAAATGTTTAAATCGAGTTTAAATTTTCATTGGGCAATATAAAAAAATGTCTGAATTAAAAAATTATCGGCTTTCTCATCCTGAGTTTAAGATTATAGTAGACTAGCTTTCCGTGCGCGGCTTCGCCCGCGTGGAATTTTGTCTGTCACAGAAAAACTTTATCGCGCGCGTCCCTGTTTCAAAAACCGGGATAAAAACTATCCTTTGACCTTTCTCGGGACTCAAACTATCTCTATGCCAAATTTAATCAAAATCGGTTCAGTGGTTTAGGCGTGAAAGCAAGACAGACAGACAGATCTATAGACAGAGTTACTTTCGCATTTATAATATAAGTATAGATAGTATAGATATCTACAAAAAAAAGGTTCTAGTGAAGATTCAAAGACACAACAGGCAAACGTTTACAATTTGTATAATTCCTATTACATCACAACTGAAGGTCACTGGGAAGTTCCTATGAAGTAGTGACGTCATGTAGCGGCCTGAGTTTTTTTATTACTTTTTTATAGTGCCATGAAAATCCATAGTATATTTTTTGGAGATTTGCCACTTGTAGTATCGAAACTGATATGGATCGGATCAGGTAGGTATATAAGCTTGTTTACCATAAGAACAATTGAAGCATTACTCATACATCATCTACTATACAGATTAAATGAGTAGTTACGACTCCTAACTAAGGCAAACATTTAATTATTTGCTTTCCGCCGGCGGCTTCGCCCGCGTGGAATTTTGTCTGTTACAGAAAAACTTTATCGCGCGCGTCCCTGATTCAAAAACCGTGATAAAAACTATCCTATGTCCTTTCCCGGGACTCGAACTATATTTATGCCAAATTTCATCCAAATCGGTTTAGTGGTTTAGGCGTGAAAGCAAGACAGACAGACAGACAGTTACTTTCGCATTTATAATAGAATATTAAGCTATTATGGAGCTAGTTCCACCTCTCTAGTTATCATCATAATAGTCTAGCCAAAATCAAAAGCTTGTCATCAAATGAAACCCCACCAGTGAAGTAATATTGAATCCCAGGTTATAGTTGATTGTCATGGAACCCGAAAAGAATTTAATGAAAAGATTATAGAGTTTATTATATGCTCTCCTACACTATGTGGCATCATTCCTCAGTGTAACTGCTTTTCAATACCAATTAAAAGGAATACAAAATTAAACGGTCACCCATCCCATTTTAACCACAGCATGGGTTGCTTAACTTTAACACCCTCCCCAAGTCCCAAATAACATATAGTTGAGTCAACTAATGTGGATTCTCTTTGCAACTGGCTTGAGCAAATGTAATTAAGGATAAAATCAAAGTGCGCAAGATAATTTGATAATATAATTCCACGGAATATACTGCTGTTGGTTTTAATTTAAACAGATAGCGCGTTGTGGGGCAGGGCTGTAGCGAGGCTGGTTGGGGTCCCCATAGTCTCCTCGCAAAATTGTTTCCACGCACAGATATTATTAATAATAATGAGAAAGTAAGGCTGGGTTGTAACATCTTACTTTAACTTTAACAAAAGTCAAAAATCTGTCAAACTCCATACAAAAAGCACCGGTTATCGTCAATAACCAATTTTGATAATTTTTCATACAGATTCAACGGGGCATTAGAGATATACCTGTATATCAGGGAATCGTTCGACTACTTTGCTTGTCCTGCAAAATTTCTCAATTTATTTCTTGTCCTTGTCGGACAAGACGGATCAACGTCCTCGCAGAAAATCAGTTTCAAAATACATATTTTCTTGCGTTAATTTTCTTAATTTAATTGTGTGTACTTGTTGTGTGTATTAATAATGTTTATTAAATTAATCAATTTATCTCACTTTAAGACTAAAAATACAAATCTCTATTACGTTCACGGTGCACAATAAAAGTAGAGTCCAGTAGATGACGCCGCTGAATTCATTATGAACTATGATTGGATTACAATCAGTTTAGTACAAGACCTACCTAGTGCATCCCTGGCTGCGGCAAGGGTCGAGCCAGCATTATAAATCATCAAAAACCCGCGATTAAGGGGGATAGAGGCACAAAGGCCGCGGCCCGGGCCGGCTTACACTAAGCTAGCTCTGTTTAATTGACTGTGCCTCTCTGGCAAGAACAGCCACACCATTTGTTACGTTTCTTAGGCCCGGTTTTTTTATTCGTAGTTAAAATAACCAATAGTCAAATTTGACAGATGTCAAAATGACAAGTGGTTAAATATCATAAAAAAATGTTATTCGAACAATGGTTAGCTTGACTTTTAATACATTTTTAACTATTAGTTAACATTTTGTTAATATTTAACCATTAGTAGCAAAATTTAACAATTGGTTATTTTAACTATAAATCAAAAAACTGGGCCTTAGTGTGTTGATTAGCGGCTAAATACCCCTCCTCAATTATCACAGCAATTACTTGCCTATAAAGCAAACAGATCATGTGCTAGCCCTAGTAACCCTACTGAATACAAAAATGATACTGAACAGATAAACTTGTGCCATCCGTCTTCATCAATCCCTGATTTTTAAGTGAACCCTATAGTAACACAAAAGGAATTTTGAAAACGGGCATTAGTCAATCTGTAAGCGTCCATGAATCTAGGTTCATATTCATGTTTACATTGCATTATGGTGAACCCACTCCAATTTAGCTTAGCTGGATTAGGCTCTTTATATTCTTAAAAAAATCATCAACGCAACAAGAGGGTTTGGGTAGTTTATTTATTTATTTTATTTTATTTATTAGGACAACCAACAAGACAAACACGCATACATGAAATTACTATAACTAAAAGTGCTTAAAACTAAGTGCTGTCTTAATTAAAGGCTGCCACGGCATGCAATGTGGACAGTTGCAAATATAAGAACTAAGAGATAGTAGGTAACACAGTGAAAAATTGAAATGTAATGAACATTATGAATAAATTTCTTTTACATTATTTGCTGTGGCTGTAAGGGACCTCAGCACAGAGCGCCTGAATTTCAATGGCTTATGGTGAAAGATGTCGACGTCACA